AATTGTACTGGATACTGACGCTGGTGATGTAGACTTGAGCGGTACACTCTCGCAAATGGACAATGTTTGTAAAAAGCACATTATCTTCTACACAAGTTCCAAATTTAACGGAAAATTAGACAGAAATGTAGAAACGAATTCGATTTGTTTAATTTCATCACGATGGTCAAACATTCCAGACATCACATAATGGAGAGGAGCTTCCTAGTGAGAATGAATCATCACCAACACTAGCTGACATAGCTCAAAACAACAGCCTCGCAGCGTTCGCACCACTCCGATCCATACCTCCAGGTTTCCCTGGAGAGAGGATGGGCATGGGTCCTTTACAAGCCATCGGAAGGAGGAAATGGTGCATATTTTATTATGGTAGTCTACTTAACGAGGACGGATAACTCGGAATCGATTGGCTTATTTTCTTCAGTTGCCGGATTTGCTAACGCAGAATGCTCGAAACGATGCATTGCACTCAAAGCAATAATTTTAAAAGCTAGTTTTTTACCGAACTATCTAAGATTCATGAGATTTCCAGGAAATGCACCATATCTGCATAGGCGTAAGTTAATGGACAGGTGGCAGAATCCAAACCCACAGAAAAGTTTACAAGCTTAAGTTATTGCAAGCACTGATTGGCTTAGTAACCCTTTTAATATTTTGAATGCTCTCTGGCATGATGATCGACTTGCCTTCTCTAACAACTCCTAATGCCTTATTAAATCAAATCGCACCTTAGTTTTGTTTTTCCAAATGGTAAGTCAGAATCAACCTTTTACAACTGCAATTGACTGATAAGTGTTCATCAAATCCTGCTAATTGTTTGCAGTTAGTGATAATTTATGTTTTGGCGTGTAGATTATTTGCCGAAGCGGTTAGACAGCAAGCTGGATTCATCTGCTGGAATGATCCTAATGTAGTGAGTATGGCCATGGCAGAAGAGACACTTAAATATTTTTATTTCAATTTTACATAGACAACTTTTCGAATCTTAGTAATTAATGAGTAAACTGAAAAAAAATTNTAATAATCTTAAATATAACAAAATCTTAGTTTGCTAATTGAGTAAATAGACACTAATAACACTACTTTTTAATTGTGCCTTCAAGTTTTGGTATCATTGTAAGGACGGTATAAAAACAAGTGCCCAGTTAGATTAAAGGAATTTAGTTCACCTTGATTATGATGGGAGGCAATACATTACCCCTTTTAGTTGTCTACATCTACACCCTTCCTAATATGCAGACCATACTTCTCTAACGTTAGCAGACCTGCCTATAATCTACGGCCGCATAGGGTACACATTTAGGCAATGGAAACGTGATAAATGTGGATCTTTTAGCTTTCAGAGTTAAAATGGTTTATACAAAGGGAACGTATGTAGAAGTGCAGAAGTCGTCTGTGTTCACCTGCCTACCTCTAAAAAGACCAGAAAGATGACAGTTAATTATTTCATCTGCGTAGTCGTGCAGACATACTCCCGCATTTATTCGCGTTTTCACTATAAGATGTCTCGAAATCAACGGACAATTTCAACTTCATTGTTGAATCTGATACCGCAATTGGTTACGGATATCAATCTCATTCTATAGAAATAAAATACACGTGAAATAGATCGATGATAGTTAGACAGGTAAATAGACTGATAGTATCAGGTGAAAATCTTACAGTGGATCAGCAGAAATGCGAGTCCCGAATCTCACAACCGCTATGGGATACATTGCGGAAGTTTGGCAAAATAATCTAGCATTTAAAGTGTATATAACACCATAAAAGTATCATAAAATATGCAAAATAAAACACCAAGACATTAACTAAAGAAATATCCCTCACAAAAATTTGCACAGTCATAGGAAACGTACATAAACTCAGTAAACTCAAAACCACAATGA